GCGAAGTGGCGAGGGTTCACTGTATGCCCTTCACAATCAGGGCCTTCATACACTTCTGTAGCCTCAGCTCTTGATCCTTCCCCACAACTCCTATATACCCTAAGCTCCACCTGCCCTAAAATCTTACAAATTCCTCAGGAAGACCCTAACATAACACTGCTTCCTTTCTGAGAATTAAGTACCATGCCATATCATATCATATACTTCACTCATTAGTTTGCATATTCATTCCCTATCCGAGACTGGGATTCTTAAATAGGAAAGCCATCTTTTATTCATTTCCAAATTCCTCAAAACCACTGTCAATGCTCAGAAAATAACTGGCAACATCTTTATAAAGAGGTATGCTTATAAATTATATAGGTTTTTATATATTTTTGGCTCAATCTGTAGTTCTAGGAACATTGTCAACTATATTTCAGTAGAGCACCAAAATCAACCCACCCCAAACTCAATCTAAATTTTGCCTCTTCATAAAGGATCTGCTCTGCTCATATCTAATCAGTGATCATTTAATTTTTTTCTTCCATTTACTTGTTTTAATTTTATGGCTCTTTTCTCATCTTTCAGTTCCCTGTTGTTGCCAAACTCTTCACACTACTTCGTAATTTATCATTCTACCTGCCAATCACTTTCCTTTGTTCAGTTCCTTCCTAAATCCAACCCGTCCTATATACGTTTGCCAAAATAATCTTCCTAAGGAAAAATATGTATAATTTGACTATATTCCTACTAAAACTCCTCAGTAAAATTAGATTACTATCTCTTGTCATTCACCAAAATAAATTCTGTGGGATTAAAGATTTAAACATTAGAAGTAAAAAGGCCCAAAACAAAATATAGATGACTATTTGCAAAACTTTAGTGTGGGAAAATAATTCTCTAATCATTACTTAACTACAGAAATGAGGAAAAGGACTTACTGACTTAACTTATTCATAATTTTAAAGTTAGAAAATGAAGACCTCATCCCCAAGTAACATCTAGAGTAAAGAGAAAGTGTCAGGTTTGAAGTTAATCTTTAAAGTACTCTTACAAGTCAGCAAGAGCTTTTCCATTAGAAAAACTTACTTCATTCAAAAAGCAAATGTAATAATTAACAAAATGGCAATAAGCCATTTTGAGAAAATGACTAGAGACACCTTTTTTCTGAATCAAATAACAAAGATAAAAACTAAGAATAATGATCAGCTACTATTGAACACATGGGGAATTATTCTTCTTTGTATACCTTTCTTTCTCGATATCTTCTTTCTCTATCTTCATCTCTTTCCAAGTTATCATCTCTTTTTTCTTTTTCTTCAAATCTTGCTTTACTTACTATATAAATAAAAAATATTTTTAATATTGTTAAATTTAGCACACCAAAAAGCTCTTCTAGCATCTTAATATATAATCTGTTGTACATACTACATTTATTTTTTTAATCAAAATATTTTCTTCAATTCAAACAAATTATTGCATCTCATGAATGAAAAGTTCTGATTGCTAAGCTTAAAATGGGATGAAAAAGTGAGATTAAAAATGACAATCTAAGCAACTATTATAATTCTTTCCTAGTTTCCTACTGAGGCAACTTATCAAATGCTATACTAATTGCTAGAAATTAGAGAGAAGTAGAAAAACTTGTAAAGATTTAAAACTTCAGAAACCCAAAGGAGAGGTTCTAGCCTTCCCTATAATGTCCATATGAGTCAGAATCAACTCCATGGCAGTCTTAGGAAAATTTAAAAATAAAAATCCACTGCTATTACTAATTCTGACTAACATAAAACAGAGTAGAACTGCCCCATAGGGTTGTAATCTTTAGAGAGTGTAGACTATCACATCTTTTCTCCATCAAGCAGCTGATGGTTCAAAAACACCCCACCTTTTCAGTGAGCAGTCAAACATTTAACTAATTGAGCCACTACGGGTCCTTAAAGGAGTAGCACTCATCAAATCTATAATGCCTTTGGGGTTTCTGTGGTAAAGTGTAGGTAAAAGAGGTACCTAAATAAGTGTTATGAATTAAATTGTATCCCTCTTAAATATATGTTAGAATTTCAATTTCTCTACATGTGGATGAGATCCCATTTGAGAAAATGGTTTTCTTTGTTATGCTAATGGGGGCATATCAATGTCCTACGTGTGTGAAGTCTATCACTTTTGAGCTTCACCAATAACCAAATCCACTGCCATTGAGTTGATCCTAACCCATAGCAACCCAATAGGAAAGGTTTCAGAAACCATTACTCTTAAAGGGAGCAGGGAGCTCACGAAGGGCACAAGTGCAAGTGTAGAAGAGCAGATGCGGCGGCAGCGATGGATGTGGACACCCCGAGCGGCACCGACAGCGGTGCAGGCAAGAAGCACTTTGAAGTGAAAAAGTGAGATGCAGTAGCCCTCTGGGCTTGGGATATTGTGATTGATAACTGTGCCATCTGCAGGAACCACATTATGGATCTCTGCATAGAATGTCAAGCTAACCAGGCATCTGCCACATCAGAAGAGTGTACCGTTGCCTGGGTAACGATGCTTTTCATTTCCACTGCATCTCTCACTGGCTCAAAACACGGCAGGTGTGTCCATTGGACATCAGAGAGTGGGAATTCCCAAAGTATGGGCACTAGAAAAAATGAATTCTTCTATCATGCTTAAATGTTTGGTTATTCATTTACTGCCTTGCCCTCCTGTTACTTAATTATAATTAGATAGAACCATGTCTTCGCTGCCTTGTCTTTTCAGGTTGTCGTGTTCACGCAACCATATCGTGTTGTGTCAAATAAAATTCCAGTTGGATTCAGAGATGCCACCTGGAGAAGATTTACTAAAAGAGCCGAGACAAAGATTTTGCCCTCGAGCTGACAGAAAGAGCTTCCCAAGAGCATGCCCCTAAAAAGAATATAGTGAATTAGAACTTCTAACTTCCTGGAACTAATTTCTGATCATTAAAATTATCCATTTGTGATTTTGAACTCTTACTTGATCATAGCCCTAATATCAGAACAATTAGTCCTTATGACATGGACATGCCTGGTACTCACCCTCATGAGGAGATTACCAATGACACGGGTGCCATAGCAAAGTGTGGTGAAGAAACCAGAGGGTACCCAGCAATCATGAAAAAGAGCGTCTGGGATCCTAAGGCTTGTCTCAAAACAAGCAGCCATCTAAGAGAGGAGTCAGCCAAGCTCACACAGAAGAAACACACCAGCCTGTGTGATCCAAGGATTGCAAATAGTAAGATCCAACCTGGAGGAGGGAATGTTACCAGTGCCTAAACTCTGAACACCTAGTTTGCAGAAAGCTATGGATGATAGTAGAAGCCCAAAATCTATGTACAGGGTCCCTACATGGATTGAATATCCAGTGAATCCCCAATGCACACAGGCTAGGATCATTAACAGCCCTAATATCAGACAAAATCATTATAAAGTTTGCTTTAGCAGCTGTAATTAGACTGGACTATAATACTTGCTCATTTTCTCTCCCACTGGACCCAATGTGAATTTATTCTAAATTTATAATGTACTTTTACTTTCTTGATGAAAGGCTTTACCTGTTTCATATAATCATCTTTGCTGGGTCCCTGTTTGTTGTTTGCCCTTGTTTTATATGTTTTTCTGTATAGGGAAACCAGGATGGGTAGAATTATGAAGGGAGTAGTTGGCTTGATGGGGATATGCATGGAGAAGGTAGGGAAAATGGGGCAATATAAATAGGTACAAGAAAAGGTTCCAAAGACAATTGTGGTAATGACTGCATGACCCTTCTTGAAATGATTGAGATATTGAATGAGATGTTAATCATAGATCAAAAAAACTTTTAAGTGAAAAAAAATCCATTTGTGTTACTTCTGATACAGAAGAATTAGCAAACTAAGGCAGAAAGCACAGCCCTAACCACTGAGTAAAACCTGCCTAATGCACCAAACATTTTAGCTCATAGGCTCTTGTACTCTCGTCATTTCCTGAGAAAAAAAATAGTACAGCTTATTGGCATCCAAGTTCCTAAGTCAGAGAATGACAGGTGATATATCAGAATGCCAGGTTATTCCCTATATAACTAAGTGAAGCCCCTACTGACACAAAAGATAAAGCTTTACTACCTAGCAGCCAATGCCCATTTTTCTACTAACCTAACCTATAACAATCTGAAAGCCACAGAATGAACTCAACACATATCATGAACAGTAATGTTGATGCCACAGTCCCTTCCAAAAATGCAGAAGCTAGGTTTTCACTTTTGAATTTGTACAGACAAGAAAGTCATCAGATTTAACATTAAGCGAATCAGTATTTTAAAAGATAAGGACAAAACTAGTCATCAGGGAACATTGAAATAAAATTCACTCATTTATTCACTCACTCAAAAATCTTCCCTGAGCACAGAATAGATCAAAACAGGAATGAAGACTTCCCGCAACTCCCGTCCAAGGTACAAGAGCTCACATTCTACTGGGAGGAGTAGGGCAGACAGTAACAAAAGTAGTGGGGGTGGTAAAAAGGGGAAGAATCTGGATATAAGAGGATATACAGAATTTCCTGATAGATTGGAAATGGATTTCCTGATAGATTGAAAGGGAAAAAGTACAGTCAAGATTGATTCCAAATTTTCACTTAAGTAACTAGAAAGAAGTAGTTGGTATCAACTGGCATGGCTAAGAACATTTCAGTGAAATAACGTGTGCGGGAAAGACATCAGATATTTATTTTCAGACATATTAAGTTTAGGGTATTGATTAGACATCAAACTACAGAGGTCAAGAATGTAAGTAAATATAAAATGCTAAACCACTATCAGTGAAATTATACATGGTTTCTGAGCCTAGATCTTTAGACATATCCAATTATTGTAATTGCTGTCAAGAAACTGTGGATAGTTGTGCATAAGCTGTAAAAAGTTGGTGAAAATTGTATGACAGATATATTTATAACAATGCAAAAAGGGGGAGGAGTCTCATCTGTGGCTACTTTATGTACAACTAAACACATCATCGGATTTGGTTCCTTGGTTTGAAGTTTTAGGATTATAGTTTAATGGGACATCCCAGTTAACACCTAATAACACGTTTAGTACTTCTCTTCTACCTCACATTTCACTGTGTACTGCCTGGGGTCTTAAAAGCTTGCAAATGGCCGTCCAAGGTATAACAACTGGAAAAGAGTCGGAGTAGGAGGAGGATGTGAAATGTAAGGTTAATTTTTACCTGGTAAAACAAGCTAAATGTAAGGCTAATTTTTACCTGGTAAAACAAGCTAAACTATTGCTTGTTTTCAAATGATTTGGGGGGATATTTTCATTTTTAAGATTTACAGGTTTTCTCAAGGCAATAATTTTAGGCATTCTACCATCTTCTATTACTCCAGTAAGTCTAAAGTTTGAAACTGAATTTGAACTTATGTTCTACACCTCTCCCCTTTTGATCAGGATTTTCGAAGGCATCTTTGGTCAAAATGTTTAGTAAAGGTAGCCTGGTACCATCCAGTTCTCCAGGTGTAATGGAAAAGGAAGGAGTTTTTCTTTTTTTTTTTTCATTTTTACATCATCTTTTTTATGACATTTTTTTTTCTTTTTTTTTTTTTAACATTTTATTAGGGGCTCATACAACTGTTATCCCAATCCATACACACATCAATTGTGTAAAGCGCATTTGTACATCGTTTCTCAAAACACTTTCTCTCCATTTAAACCCCCGACATTAGGTCCTCATTTTTCCCCTCCCTCCCCGCTCCCCCCTCCCGCATGAGCCCTTGATAGTTTATAAATGGGTATTTTGTCATATCTTGCCCTGTCCGACGTCTCCCTTCATCCACTTTTTGGTTGTCGTCCCCCAGGGAGGAGGTCACACACAGTTCCATGTAATCGGTTCCCTCTTTCCTACTCATTCTCCCTTTACCCTCCCTGTTTTGCCACTTACACCACTGGTCCTATAGGGCTCATCCGTCCTGGATTCCCTGTATTTTCAGTTCCTATCTGTACCAGTGTACCTCCTCTGGTCTAGCCAGTCTTGCAAGACAGAATTCGAGTCATGGTAAGGAAGGAGTTTTTCATGGAGGCAATTAGCCTCACATTTCTTAGCCATGCCAGTTGATAGATTGGAGGGTAAGAATGGTTGACAACCTGGAGAATAGAATTATTACCACTAAGCTGTAAATGTAGAAATGGTTGGATCGGTGTATGCTTTGTTATGTATACTATCAACAACAAAAGGATAAAATTTAGAGAAAATAGGGAAAAAATGAATAATGAATGTACACAAATACAAAAGGAATTAGGAACTTCAAATTAAGGTCTACATTTTTATGAAAATTATTAGAAAACAAAATGCCCAATAAAAATATCAGGAGAAGAAAAGGCTCATTAACAACATTTTTGACAAGGGAAATGGATCAAATTGTTAAACTAAATTTAAATAAACTGATACAAAGATAAATTTAAGAGAGGAACTTAGATGTAGGTAGTTAACCAAAACCACGTACCTGAACGAATTTTCCTGTCGACTTTGTCCACATGTTGCTTGTCACGAGCCTCACGCCCCACGACGTTATGGTAGGCAGTGGTGTGCTTAAGTTCTTCTTTCCTTGCTTTTCTCTCCTTTTCTCTTTCTCTATCTTTCCCTTTACTGTAAGACTTTTCTGTTTCTTGTTCTCGATGTTTATATTTTTCTCTTTCTCTGTCTTTTGTGTCCTTTTTTCTTTCCCTATGTTTGTCTCTGTCCCTCTCCCCATGAGGACTCTCCTTAGATACATGGGCATCTCTTTCATTTGTCCTTTCTTTATACTTGTCTCCATCCTGATCTTTGTGTTTACGCTCTCTGTATTCCAGAAGGTCAATTTCTGACTCTTTATGTTGCTTCTTTTCCTTATGTTTCTTTTCTTCTTTTGGACTATCGGACTGTGCAATTTAAAACAGGTTAAGAGTTAACTTATTTACCAGAAAAGCAAAATTTACATGGAGCTTTTACTATCTAAACATAAAAATCATACCCATTCTAAGGGCCTTAAAAAACAGCATCACCGCTCAAGACAAAATGAGTGTATAAGCAAATATAGTGAAGAAAGCTGATGGTGCCTGGCTATTAAAAGATATAGCATCTGGGGTCTTCAGTGATACTGTCGGGAAGGTGAGCAACATGGAATGCCAGTTTAATAGAACAAAGTGTTCTTGCATTGAAGGAGTACTTGAGTAGAGGCTCAATGTCCATCTGCTACCTTAATACTTAACCTATTGCACATAGATATGCACATAGATATGCACATAGATCTATTTTCCCATCTTTTTATTTTTAAGGTTCTGCCTTTGTGAATGAACATTATTGAAAAATTTCCCCTATCTCTAACCCCCATTATTTGCATAAGCAGTGTTTAGTCACTTGAGTTTTTTGATCTGATACAGGTCAGCAATCCATGTATTCAGCTCTAGACAGCTGTCCTACACATGTATATTTTCCTTTTCTAAACAGAATTTGAAATTCTGTAACATTGGCTAAATTAAGGATATTATCAATATAAGTTTCCATATGCCCATGGGGATGATTTAAAATGTCCCCCAGGAAAAAGATAAAGTGGACCAAGGACACATATAAATCATAGATACATAAACGGATTTTGAGCTCAATCTTAGCCCCAATAAGAACAACTAGTTCTTATGATGTGGCCCTACCCAATATTTGGCTTCATGAAGAGATCACTGAAGACATGAGTGCTATAATACAGTGTGGTGAAGAAATCAGATGGTGCCTGGCTCTCAGAAATAATATCTGGGATCTTAAAAGCTTGTCTTAAAACAAGCAGTGATCTAAGTGAGGTGATAGCATGGAAGGAATACACCAGTCCTTATGATACAAGGATTATAAGCAATAACATCTAAGACCAGAGGAGGGAACAGAATTAGTATAAATTCTGAGCACCCAGTTTGAAGAAGGCTACAACTGACAGTGAAAGCCCAAATTCATTTGCAGGGTCCCCACATGGAATAAGCTTCCAGGGAATTCTGTGACCATTGAACAGGGATGTGAATAGCCTTGCTATCAGACAAAGTGCATTGGAGAGGGAACTACTGTAGATGTAGTTTGGTTAAAATTTAACAACTTATCCTATTTTCCCATTTGACCCATTTAAAATTTGTTCTAGTTTTTATTTTCTGTTATGTGTTCAAATACCTTTTTCCAATGTATTATTTTGTTATTTTTGTTGGGTTTTTTCTGTTTGTTTATTGTTTTTGCATGTTTTTTCTTTATATGAAATAATCGATGAGGGATAAATCTATAGAGGTAGTAACTGTATTATTAGTTTGTTAGGGCTACAGCAGGGGAGGTTAATGGGAAATGAGGAACTAATTGTGTACCAAAAAGAAAAGAAAATGCTCTAAAATTCATTGTAGCGAAGATTGCACAACTTTTTAAAATATGTTTAAACTACTAAATTGTATAATACATGAACTATAAGTTAATAAAACTGTTTAAAAAATTAAAGAAGGAAGAAAGTTACTAAGACACCAACTGCCCAGGTCCTAATAAACAAGTAGGTCCTAGAGCCAAGAGTTGGTTCTTTCCCCACTCACCTGGCAGCAATGGGAAATGTACCAGCAACAACCTCAGGAGAATTATATTTCAATCCCCAGACAGACTCCTTTGTCATTTTCGCACATGCGCGCGCGCGCACACACACACACACACAACACACTACCACCACCACCACCACTGCAATCCCTGAACCAAGAGCAACACAAGATCCCCAAATTGCCTTTGGGGCATTCCTGAACCATAACAGAGAACCCAATGAGCTGGTGAGGAAGTAGAGATGGACTGGACTCATCAGCCACCCTAAGAAACCAGATATCATCTATACCATAATTTAAGCCTATTTCAATATAGTCCCAAAACATATTAATTACAATGGCTTTATCTTTAAATCAAAAACTCCTCTAAAATTAGCCACACAAATTATATAGTATTATAAGATAGGTAAAACTGTCAAAGGAAACCAAATAAATTCCAAATGGATCTCAAGTTAAATCTGTAAAGTATATTACCCAAAGGTGTTTTTTGAGGTCATCGGCTTTCCATGTATCATCTTTTGTTCTTCTCTGAAAAGGAAATTATAAAGTTAGACATTTTAAAGAGTTTAAAATAACTAATTTTGTATGTTCATGTGAGCTACCCGTTTATTAAGACTTAGATTGGTGACAATTTTTTTAACTTTTTAATGTGAATTAGCTGAAGGTTTACAGAGCAGATCATCAATTTTACACTCAACAATTTATACACACTTTGCTATAGTTCATCCATTGAAATCCTCTCAACAGCTTATCCCACCATTTCCCTGCTTCCTGTTTCCATTACTCCTTCTTTCCTAGGCCTCTGAACTTTGTCCTGGGGTAAATGTTAACTTTTTGATCTTAAACATCTGATTTTCCTATCAGGGGGTTAAGTTCCATTCCAGACTGAACAGATGACCTATAGTCTATCGTCTTGGGGATCCCACCAGTCTCTAGCTGTCCAGGAAGCCTGGTCTATTTTATGATTTAGAGTTCTGCTCTACATTTTTCCCACCCTATTATAATGTGATCCTTTTCAGAGCAGTTAGTAGTAGTAGTCTGTCATCACTGGTCTCAGGATTGTGGAGATTGATGTCTGCAAAGTCCATTAGTCCATTTGACTAATTGTTTCCATGTATTTTTAGATTTTCATCACTCTTCTTTCCTTTCGGAATATTTGCACCTTAGATATTTGTTCATGAGCTTTTAAGACTCCATTCATTACCCAAGTAGGATGTACAATACAGTTGTTGTGAACTATTTTGTCAATTGACTTTGGGGTCCCCAGAGACAATGGTCCTAATTCCCCAGGCTCAGTGACTCATTTCCTTAATGGGTTCATGATGTTTAATAGAGTTTCCTAATATACTTCGAGTATGCTCTACTACTTTCATGGGTATATTTACGACTAAGGTCAATACATATATACAAAGACCTTCTGAGATTTTATATATATATATTATATATATATCTCCCCTAATATCTTTGTATAAAAATTACACTCTCCCTTCCACACCTGTTCAGCCTATGTGTCTAAGTATCTATTTGTAGAAGCCCACCACGGCAGGATTATGTAACAGTGTCTTCCTCTGCTGCCTTTAACTCTTACAAGCCTCCATGTCTTTCTGCCCTCCATCATTGTTTCCTAACCTCCCTCTTATTGTATACTGTCTTTCCCCATTATCCAAGTTAACACCGGTCAACCCTATAGCCTGTGAATTCTCCTCTCTCCCTCCCCCTCTCACTCCTGGTAACGACCAAAGAATGTTTCTTTTGGTGTGAAAATTCTTTTCTTGACTTTTACAATAGTGGACTCATACAAATTTGTCCTTTGATGATTGACTAATTTCACTAAGCATAATTAATTCTTGATACACTAAAAAGTATTTATCTCTATTGGAATAAAGTAATAGAAATACAAATTTAAAAAATTAATTCCCTGGTCTGAAATTATACAGGGTAAGAATATACTCCTTTGGCTGCATCAAAACCAATTTAATTCACAAAAATAAAAGAAAAAAAGATGCTTATTAACAGCCATTGCTGTACAGATGATACAACCTTGCTTATTGAAAGTGAGGAGGACTTCAAGCATTTGCTGATAAAGATCAAGGATTGCAGCCTTTAGTATGGATCACAACTCAATATAAAAAAAAAATCTTCACAACTGGACCGATAGATAACATCATGATAAATGGAGAAAAGACTAAAGTTGCCATGGATTTAATCTTGCTTGGTTCCAAAATCAATACTCCTGGAAGGAGTAGGCATGAGATCAAATGATGTATTACATTGGGTAAATCTGCTACACAAGACCTAAGTATTGAAAAGCAAGGATGTTACTTTGTGGGCTAAGGAATGCCTGACTCAAGCCATGGTATTTTCAATCACCTCATATGCATGTGAATGCTGGACAATGAATAAGGAAAATCCCCAAAGAATTGATGTGTTTGAATTATGGAGTTGGTGAAGAATATTGAAAACATTGTGGACTCCCAGAAGAACAAACAAATCTGTCTTGGAAGAAGTACAGCCAGAATGCTCCTTAGAGTCAAGGACAGTAAATCATACTGTTCTTTGGACACGTAAGCAGGAAATACCTGTCGCTGGAAAAGGACCTCATGCTTGGAAAAGAAGAGCATCAGTGGAAAAGAGGAAAAGCCTCAACAAGATGGTTTGGCACCAGGTGGGTTCCAATTGGCTCAAATCTAACAATTGTGAGGCTGGTATGGAACCAGGCAGTGTTTCATTATGATATGCGTAGGGTTGCTATGAGTCGGAACTAACGACAGAACTTAACAATAACAACAATTTCCTAAAATAATGTCAGGTAGTGCTGGGAGATAACCCCTCTAGGTTGAAAGAATTGCACAGAAAACACAAGAATGGACTTAAATATCTAATGATCATAAACATGGAGTAAGGCCATGTAATGTTTTCATTCTACAGTGAAACTTAGTCAAAATCATAGCAATATGCAAGACAGTGGTGGCCATCACTGAGGTGGGTGCATTGCCTAGAAATAGAATGCTGATCTTCACAGGAAAGGAACCCCACCACTGAACCATCAGTGTCCCCTATGAAAGCTACACCCTCACTAAACAACACAATTTCTAGCCTCTAAGGTACTGGAAGAAGTCCTGGTATTGTAGTGGTTATGTGTTGGGCTGCTAACAGCACAGTCTGCAGTTCAAAATTACCAGCCACTCTCTGGATAAGACAGAGCTTTCTACTCCTGTAAAGAGTGTCAGCCTCAAAAACTCAAGGGGGAAGTTCTACTCTTTCCTATAGTGTCACCATATGTCAAAACTGACTCGATGGCAGCGAGCGCAGTAAGCAGGAGCCTTGGTGACACAGTGATTATGTGCTGGACTCCTGACTGCAAGGTGAGCAGTTCAAAACCATCAGCCACCCTGCGGGAGAAAAATGAGGCTTTTTACTGCCATCAAGAGTTAACAGTCTCACAGGGAATCCAGGACAGATGAACCCCTCAGGACCAGTGGTGAGAGTGGCGATACTAGGAGGGTGGAGGGAAAGTGAGGGAGAAAGGGGGAAAAGATTACAAGGATCTACATATAAACTCCTCCCTGTGGGGTGGACAGCAGAGAAGTGGGTAAAGGGAGACGTCGGACCATGTAAGATAAGACAAAATAATAATAAGTTATAAATTATCAGGGGTTCATGGGAGAGAGGGGAGGGGGGAGCAGGGAGGGAGCGGGGAGCGGGCAGGGAGGGGGAAAATGAGGAGCTGATACCAGGGCGTTAAGTAAAAAGCAAGTGTTTTGAGAATGATGAGGGAAACAAATATACAAGAGTGCTTGACACAATGGATGGATGTGTGGATTGTGATAAGAGTTGTACAAGCCCCCAATAAAATGATTTAATTATTTAAAAAAAAGAATTACAGGAACAGTTCTAGTCTGTCTTATAGGTTCACGGTGAGTCAGAATCATCTCAATGCTGTGAGTTTGGTTTTTTGTTTTAGAAGGCACTGAAGTGGCTGTGGTGACACTACAGTTAAAGCTCTCAAAGCAGCTAGAGCCGTGAAAAAGTGCTGGAGACGTCTATGATTTGAACCGACCAGCCACTCCACTCGCCGGAAGAAAGATATGTCTGCTTGTGTAAAGATTTAATTTTATGGCATAATCTACTCTGTCCTGTAAATTGTATGAAACCCAATGGATGCCAGCGCGTTTGGTTCGGAAAGGCACTTAGCACCTGTGACTGACTAGTAAAAGTGAACTATGTTTTCATAATGGCGATTTTCCCACTTGCTAGACCTGTTTGTTGTTTTGTTTAATGCCTCCAACAAGTTCCTCCTACTTAGAAACTGAAAAACCGTTGGGAGAGGCAAATATTCAATTTACTAAATAAATAAATAAAAGACAAAGAATAAACCGATTCTCTAGTTCACCTTCAAGGATTGAAAAGGTTTCCTTGGGTAATCTACAAACACGAACTTGGGCCCCAGAAACGCTCAATAAATCGAACTACTGCCATCGAATAACTCTATAAGGAGTTTCCGTGACTAACTAGAAAGGAGCAGTAAAATTCACTATCCTCCACTGGAGTGAATGGTGGGTTTGAACCCCCACCGTGCAGCTAGCAGTGCAATGCTGCTCCCCCAGGGCCACAGTACAGGGCGGGGTTATTTATTCTGCAATTCACCATTCACTGTGGTGGGCTGGATTCACGCACCCTCCTCTGGAACCACTTGGGCCAGATTTCCTTCAGAGTACTCCCGGGAATGAATAAAGAAATTCGAGTCCAGATCAACACTTTCGGATAATCCTGAACCGTGGCTTTCTATAAAATTACTAATTCCGAGGACAGGAGGTGTGAACAGACACCAACAGCCGGGAAGTTAGTTGGCGGCGTAGGCAAGAAATCGAGGTCCAGAAGCGAGATCCCCGCCGAAGGCCCTCTTTCTCTCCCAGGCCTCGCCCAAGTCCACTCCGTGCACTGACCTTCCCAGGCTCCATCGTTCGTCAGAGGGCCGGGAAAGCCGTGACATTCACGACCCCCCAGCCAGGAGCTGATCGTCCAGCGGGGAAAGTTCAGGCCAGGCTGGTGCCCGCACTCCTCGGCGGGCTCGCGGCCTGCTCGGGAGGGTCTCCGAGGCGGCGCTGCGCGTCCCTGCTCCCTAGCAACCGGCAGGCAGAAGTAAGAGAGCGTCGAGCGATCGCTCGCCGGCGCCCTCCTGCGCGCTTCACTCTGGCCTTAACCACCGTGTTGTAACCTTAAACCATAGAGGAAGGGAGGCCGCGGTCGGTGTACGATATGAAAATAA